TTTGGAGTAGTAGTAAACGTTGCAGGTCTTGGTGTAACCACATTGCTTATAGATGAAGAAGCAATGTTATGATTGTGATTTGCAAAATGATCAAAGAGTTTGACAGTTATAGACTGAATAGCACCCACATTCAGTTGTTTTTTGATGAAACAACAGAGCTACTTGGCTGCGTATGAATGTTATTGTTCCGTTGATCAGACCATGTGAAAGTTATATCAGATAATAGTGTTTTTAAATGCAAAAGGGATGCAGATTTGATCCTGAAAACATCTTCACAGTTATTGATAATGTTCTCATCAAGCCTCTTGTTATGTGACATTTTATCTTGCATAATACTTTTCCTCCTTTGTTGTGCCGAGGCTTGAAGTTGTTTTGTAGGAGTATTTTTAAAACTCCTCAATGTATTTGAGCTGCCTGATGCAGAAGTTGGTGTATGGATAAACTGGTGTCAGACAGGGATAGATTCAGAAATCTTGATCACTGGCGGCAAAATGTATATACTACTATGGTCCCCCTATTTTGCATTCTTTTGGGTTTTGATCCCTCCATTTTAAAAACCACCATTTTGGTCCCTTTTTAAAGTTTTGAGGTTGATTTTAGTCCCCTCTCCAATTTGAGACTTTTTTTTAATGACGTGGCACCATCCAAGATGACGTGGCAATGCCAAGTCATTTTAAAATTAATTTGAGACTTTAATTATTGATTAGGATAATTAATTTATTAATATTATATTTGTTAATAAATAAATAAATTATTAATTTTTTATTATTAATTTTTATATTTAATTAATTAAAATTTTATATGAAACACTTTGGGCCTAACCTTTTTATTCCATGTCTTTGGTCCATTTTTTAACACACTATTGATTTGTTGTGTTTGTGTAAGATATATAAACACTAACAACATTTATAATGAAAACAATGTGGGACTTTAGTGGGTTGGTGACTTTGTAAGCTAAATAATAGAAATATCACTTCCTGCTTCTTTTTTTCTCCAATAATGTTGTACAAAATACATCTTCTCTATAATAGTTTTCAGCTAGAGTTCATTTATCATATTGGAGAATTGTATTGTTTCTTTATATTTTACTAAAGAAAATGATGTCTTTCTCCATTTATGCCTCCAACTATTCTTGTTACATTAGGCGACCCTCTGAAAATGGTGTTGGATAACTTCGTGAATGGACTTCCTCTACAAAATACAACTAGAGAGCTAATAAAGGGTTTTACTACTCTTGCATCATCTCTTCTTGTAAGATTCAATTATTGTTTTTCAAAAATAAAAAGTTTCAATTGGAAAAGCAGTGTGTGACTTTATTTTTGTGAAGCCTGATGTGTGAGTAATAGTGAGTTTGTGACATTGACAATGCTTAAAGCATATTTCAGAAAGAAATCTTAATTGAAAATTGGCTAGCTTACTTTGTTTCCTTTATTTTAACTAAAACTTTGTAAAAGTGGAACATGAGCATGGTTAGGCATGACTTTATTTTCTTTGTTCTTACTAATATGTGCTCATTTAAGCTTTCACTTCATTTACTTTCAATATTGAAAATCTGTTGATTGAATTTACAAGTTCTTACTGACATATTACCAAAAGAAACACTTATGTGGAAACTAAAGATGTTTAAATCAGCTTCGGATTATGCCACTTCACGGCTTTATGCTATCAAAGCTCAGACTTTGATACTTTGCAGGTTCATTCTCGTTAGCATTGTACATCTTACATTAGTCATATTCAGCATTGTACATCTTACGTTAGTCATACTCTTTAACATTGTACTTCTTACATTAATCATAATATGGAATCCTATGGCTTTTCTTAATTTTTTGATGTTGTCACTTAGCCGACATGCTATTAGAAAATAAATGGAAAGAAAGATTACTAAGTGCTAACAAACAATTTCTTTAAACTTCATTACTTCTAAACAATGGTTTGTATGATGAAACCGTTGAAGGGTATAGAAACAAAAACCATATGAGATTTATGTTAATTACACACTAGAGGATATCATCTCAAAATGTAAATTAGTGCATCCTTTCAATAATATATCCAAGAGGTTACTACATATAATTGGAGGAAAAAAGATGTATTATGTACAATATTATTGGAGGAAAAAAGAAGCAGGAAGTGATAGTTTCCATTATTTAGCTTACAAAGTCACCAACCCATTAAAGTCCCACATTGTTTTCATTACAAATGTTGTTAGTGTTTATATATCTTACACAAACACAACAAATCAATTGTGTGTTAAAAAAATGGACCAAAGACATGAAACTAAAAGGTTAGGCTCAAATTGTTTCATATAAAATTTTGATTAATTAATTAAATATAAAAATTAATAATTTATTTATTTATTTATAAAAATAATATTAATAAATTAATTATCCTAATCAATAATTAAAGTCTCAAATTAATTTTAAAGTGACTTGCATTGCCACGTCATCTTGGATGGCGCCACACCATTAAAAAAAGTCTCAACTTGGAGAGGGGACACACCATTAAAAAAAGTCTCAAATTGGAGAGGGGACTAAAATCAAACTCAACTTAAAAAAGAGACCAAAATGATAGTTTTTAAAATGGAGAGATCAAAATCTAAAAAAATGCAAAATAGGGGGACCATAGTTGCAATTAAGCCTATTCTATATTTAAAAAAAAATCAAAGATACTTAAACATATAATTTTTTATTATAAATAATTCTATTTTGAAATTATTGAATAATTTTTCTTTTGTTTTTATTTTTAATATCTAACAAAACAACCGTTTAATTATTTAAGAATATTTAATTCTTAAAATACACAAATACTAATTTTTTTAGTGGAGGTATTACTTGTCTTTCATCATGTGAAAAATAAATATTTTAAATTAATCTATAATAGCATAAATAATTTAGTGGGGGCAGTTGCTCCCAATACCATGGACGTAGATCCGTACCTGCACACGCCCCTTTTGTTTTTATTTTTAATATCTAACAAAACAACCGTTTAATTATTTAAGAATATTTAATTCTTAAAATACACAAATACTAATTTTTTAGTGGGGGTATTACTTTTCTTTCATCATGTGAAAAATAAATATTTTAAATTAATCTATAATAGCATAAATAATTTAGTGGGGGCAGTTGCTCCCAATACCATGGACGTAGATCCGTGCCTGCGCACGAGGGGCGCATGTCAAAGGAAAAATTGACTTAACAAAAATCTGATGCTGTAAGATATCTATCACTAACTTTTAATTGAATAATGTATGTCTTATTTTCCCAATTCTTTTTTTTTTTTGACAAAAATAATGTGTTGTTAACATAAAACCGTTATTTAAATGATGGTGGCCACACCACATATTATTGGTAAACTCTAAAACCATCTCATTTAAAGTCACATGCAGAAAGAAAATGCAATAAGTACTGCACTAATATATGTTAGAGTTAGACATTCATATTTCATGGTGAGGTCCAGCCATGACAGATTCAGAAATTTTGATCAGTTTGGACAAAATATATATACTATTATAAATATTTATATAAAAAAATATATCAATGTGAAACCATATATCATTATGTAAAAAAGTTAAAACTATTAAAATTTCTATATTAACAAAAACTAAAGATACTTAAACATATAATTTTTTATTATAAATAATTTTATTTTAAAATTATTGAATAATTTTTCTTTTATTTTTATTTTTAATATCTAACAAAATAACCATTTAATTATTTAAAAACATTTAATTCTTAAAATACAGAAATACTAATTTTTTTTACTTGTGTTTCATCATGTAAAAAATAAATATTTTAAATTAATTTATAATAGTATAAATAATTTAGTGGATTAATAGTAACGTCACAATGATGTACTGCTATGAACTCCAGGAGGACACATAGTAACTTTGGCAAATTATTACTACTTTGTGTCGAGTAGTAGTAGTAACAAGTGAAATATGTATTACATATTAATAATACTGTTATCTATTATTATTATTATTAAAGCAGTTAAGTATAAATTCTTCAATTGTGTCTATGCTACTACCAATAAAGAAAATGATTAGGCTAAAGGTGGTATAAAATTGAAAATGATTAGGCTAAAGGTGGAATAAAATTCTGGACAACTATGTTATTGAAATTGCATTGCAACTCAAACTAAACAATCGAAATATTTAAAAGTATAATAAAAAAAACAACATTAATTATTCATTGATATTATAAAACGACTTATATTTTACTACAAAATATTTTCAAAAAAAAACTAATAAAACAAAGGTAGTGTTGTTTAATGAATAAGGTAGTATTGTTTAATGAGTGAGGATCAACTTATTCTAAGAATAAGTTTTTTTAAACTTTACTTTATATCATAACTTTTAAATTGAATTTAATCTAATAGTTATATTAGTATTTATACATATAACCATTCAATTAAATCTAATTTAAAAGTTATGATTGTAAACTAAATTATAAGAATAAGTTCCTCACTCTTAATTAATTTAGTCTATATTTCTAAAATAGGTTCCCCTCTTACAACCTGCAATATATTGTCGAGAATTGAAATATAGTTAAAATATAATAGACTATGCAGATTTAAAAAAGTTAATTACAAATGGCAGTGCGTTACGGTTTTCTTACACCTTCCAATTAGGGAGAGAGCAATTAGGGAGAGAGCAACAGAGTATATGCGACTGATACTGAGAAAATTGCAGGTAATGTTTCAGGGCTTGAAATAGTGAATCTCGCATTTGAATAGAGATATTTACAAAATCGAAATCATATCGAATTGAACTCCATTGGTTATGTTTCGGGGCTTGAAATAGTGAATCTTATTTGCACTCGGAACATTTGAATAGAGATATTTACAAGATCGAAATCAAATCAAATCGAACTACATTAAAGATCAATTGATCTGTAGTGCAAACAAATTGAACTGTACATCAAACTGAGTTGCAGCAGCAAGCAAAGCAAAGTACAACAGTTAAATTACTATATCACAATGTTTCTCCAAGCTGCGTTGCCAAATCAGATTAGCTTTGATATCACTTGACAAGAAGTCCAGAATGCTTTAGTTGCAGCCGTTAGAATAACAGGATTTTGATATATCCTGTTAAGAATGGAATTGTCAACTAAAAACAGAATTCATCTTGATCTGATTATGAATTAATAGATTCCGAAATATTTGAAATTAATCTGATTATGAATTAATAGATTCCGAAATATTTGAAGAGAATAGGATGTGAGTCGGCTCCTTACCCTATGGCTGTAGCCCCCCATGATGCAACATTATAAATAACTTTGCTCCCATCCCAGGCCTTTCGAAGCTTTCCCTTTTTCTTTTTCACCGAAAATGTCTTGCTGAGTGCTGATAAAAACATACCAAAATAAAGTTTCAGAAATCTGCTCCTAATCTTTTATCTAACTAAAAATAACTGTGTGAACTCTAAAGTAGAGCACAAAATATTATATGAATAAAATGTAGGCCAAGAAAAAGATGTCATATTAGGAGGGAAGCAATCACCATCCTGGAGTTGATTTGGAGTCAAATCCTGCAGGAAAAAAAAAACAAAGCGATAAATTAGAGAAAGGACGGGCAACATTAGAAATTTAAGATAAAACCGATGCATCAAATACAAGATATTTCCCATCATTGATCAAAGCAAAGACATAGTAGGATTTGTTTTATCTTAAGTTATGACAAAAAAAAAAGCATAAAATAAAACTTGTTTTAACATAAAATAAGAAAGAAAAGAAGCATCCCCTACAGCATATTCCTCATGCTTCAATTTCACACCTCCAAAAACTTCAAACCCCAAAATACCCCTAAAAAAGCTAAAGACATCATTCAATAGGAATGAATCAATGATTGTTAGTAGGATACAATTGCCTCATTTCTAGCAAGATTGTATGGTCGCTTAGACAATCACCATTTCACCATTTTTGGGATCCTTTGAGAAATTGAGATACACAGATCTCAGCAATCTTCCTTACTATCCCACTCAAACACAATTTTGCATGCAATCTAACTTGTTCAAGGGTACCGTAAAATCGTGTGAGTTTACAATTTAATTCACAATCTTGACAATACTAAAGCAAAGAACCTACCGACAATTATACTATGGAAAAGGCAAATATATCAATAGATTTATACACCCCCAAAAACAAATCTGTCTGTAACATGTAGACAGAAGGGTCTCTATCTGGAAGTTATTGTTAATGCAATGGTCATTTTTCAAACACTTCCGTCTTCAAAATGGACATCTTTGTAGATAAAATAAGTTTTGTTAACATAGTCATTGAGCAAGCAAGTTTCCATTTTAACTTTGGTCACAATTAATAGTGCATCATTATCTAACTATTCTATTCATGTCAGATTATTCTGTGCAAGTGGTTGTAATTGAACCCTTTTTATGCATACCGCCATAAGTAAAACATAAAAAGTAAAGCAAAAGCAATTAAGAATCCATAATCTGCGATTCAAGAATGTATGACATCAATTGAAGGTTTTCGTAGTTTTTAACGTTACACAAAGGTACGAAGAACAAAAGAAACAAAAAAACATTTAAATACCAACTAATCCTGATTGCTGAAAAAGCATGCATATAGGACAAGTTAGACAACCTTAGAAAAGGTTGTATGTAGAATAATTCTCTCCCCACAATCCTTAGGGGACTCTTATTTCAGTGTGGAATTTGCAGCTCAACTGATGAGCATGCATTTAGATTTTCATGTTGGTCTAATCATTGCAGTCAGACTATAGCACAAGTCTGCCGTATATCGCATTAATTTCCGAGATATGATGCGGAGCCTCCAACATCATAACAAAAGAATATGCAGAAAACAATACATACCTTGGTTTTCTTAAGCGACAACAAATAGGCAGCCATAAAGCAAGCAATTCCCTCCACTATATCATCTTGTCTAACAAGAACATAATCTTCTTCCTCAGAATCAACACCTTCCCAAAGATCATTTTCACTGACCAAATCCCAAGAACTTCCTTCTTCTGCAACAATCCAAGCAAGCTAAATCTCATTAAAATCCTAAAACCCAAACAAAAAAAAATATGAAACACTGACTACAAAGATGATTTGTTGCATACCAACTGTGTTCTGATAAACAGACGCCTGTGCACACTCTAACTTCTCAAGGAAATCAGGGCACTCAAGTCTTGATTTGAGCAAGTCACACAACTGCACAAGGACAAACAAATAATCCACATTTTAAAACATAATATTAATAATAATCAGCAACAATGAAGCAGTTGTTTTCCAATCAAGCACACCCAACACTAGTGGCGAGCAAAAGGATCAACAGCTCTAATAACTTCCATCAAAGCTATTCTATTACTACCTTTGCGCATAATACAAACTCCATTTCAAACTACTTGAAGCATTTATTACTTTTTTTTCAAATACACCCCTAATTAATACGGCTAAGCTGTATTATGAGATGAAAAGTTAGAGTTGAACATATCTATATCTATATACAAAATGTTGTATTTTTATCTTTTGTTATAAAAACAGCTTATTCGAGCTTATTTTGTTAAGCACTTGTGCTAAAAGCTGCAAATAAGCTGTTTATCCAAAAAGGAAGCTTATAACAAATGTGTTTGAATCCGTTAACATAATTCAATTATACTAGTACAAATGAAAAACTAAAATAAAACTCATAATAAGAAACTTTTTCAATACAATTCGATAATACTAGCACCATGGCAAGAGAATCATTAACTAAATACACAGAAAAATATTTTGTAAAAGAAAATTTCAAACCCTAGTTAACTTGCAAGCTAACTTCAATTTAAATTTCATCAACTAAATTCGCTATTTACGGAATAAATAAAAGACATAACCTAAAACAGAAAAAAAATTGAAATTCGCTATAATTTTTTTGCATCAATCAAAAACAAAAAGGGAAAGGTAAGAGCTACCTGATCGGCTTCTTGATCGGGAGGTGTAGAAGGGAGACTTTCATCGTTAGAATCAGAAACATCGCCGTCGTCTTGATCGGAAGCGTTGTTGATGAGTTCAAGGGCTCGCTGACACTGTTCCAAAACGGTTTGAAGAGTTTTCCTCTTGACCCGAACCGGTTCTGGATCCGATAGAATAGCCTCCATTTTGGTTCCGGTTCGGAGAGAATGAATAATTGGGGTTGTTTCTGATTTGGGAACCCTAGACGATGAGGAAAAAGAGAAAGGAATATTATTTCGTCTTTTTTTAAATTGATTAGTTAATTAATGATGTTGAGGTGAAAAGAGAGAAGAATAACACGTGCATTTTTATTTAATGTTATGAATTATGATTATGATAGAATGTTGTGGCGTGAGGGTTTTGGGTTGGAGTGGTGGAATGGAATGGAAAGAAAACAGAGAGAAGATGCTGGCAGGTGATGCCGTCAGGATAAAATCGAAGGTTGTTTTTTTAATTTTTAAGTTTTATGGAGTAATTGGTTATTTCCATTATTATGATGAGTTCCGTAACTTAGAGGTAACATAGACAATTAGAGATATATAATTAAAATTATATTATAAACTAAAAATGATAATTTTCTAAATATTTTTTTCATAAATTCACAAATATGAGGTAAAGAAAGAACCTTAAATCTATTTTACATGAAATATTTTACATGAAATAAAATATAAAGTTATCTCACACGAAATATAATATATATTTTCTTATCTCTATTTTAATTATTTTTGATTTCAGGGCAGAACAATGATGTTGTCTATGTGAGTCGACTTTTGATTTTCACAAAATTCTACGAATGGATCATCCTAAATCCAACCTCATATATATATATATATATATATATATATATATATATATATATATATATATATATATATATATATATATATATATATATATATATATATATATATATATATATATATATATATATATATATATATATATATATATATTAGATTTACCGAAGAATGGAGGTAATGACCTTCAAGATCATACTAAAGGTTACCGATCAACCTTTCACTCTCACATATTGTCTCAGTTATCCATCATCAATATGACTTTTGTTGTAATAACTTTTGGTGTAAACCCATTACTAGAATACCTTCTCCATGAAGTGAAGAACCTCTGAACGATGAGGGAAGATTGTATCGCACCTAAATTACTAGATCACAATGAAGCAAATCAAACTTCAAAAGCATAATCATCAACAACCAAAGTAGTTACCATCACGAATCATGTTACGCGTCGCTACTACGCGAAGTGTTAGATATTATGATTTCACTATACCACATCTTATTATCACCACTGAGAGTCACAATGTTTTTATATTCGGTTGCGGTCCGTCTATTGAAATACTTATTTCCCTTAGTACTTAAACGTTGAGTTAAGAAACATAGATCTAAATGCAAACACGTTCGAGGAACGAGGAAGTTCTAAGAATCACGGATGTGGACCTACTAGTGGTCGCAGAAGTTTTCACCACTAAGGAAGTCCTTACTAGATACCTCATAGACAATAAATTATTGGCGATGATTTCTGATTTGATGCGATCAAATTACCATATCTCCATCGATTGGAACCATGCGTACAAAATAACACAAATCCTTTGGTATTTAGTAACTTTATATCTTACTTTATCGGGGCGACGTTTTCATCTAACCTCGTGCTTGGCTTCACCGACCTACTATGAGGTATATTTCAAAAAAAGGAGAATAGGCTCAGTTCGCACAAACTGAGGAGAGATCCAGTTCTGAGAAAAAATGTATCTCCTTATTACAATACTCTCAACATAGGCAATATCTGATCTGATCTTGGAACTCCTTTGAAAGATAAACAACTCTAAAAAGACTTAGGAGAAATCTAAAAGGACTGTGACATTATTGGAAACAAATCCTTTGTGCTATACAATTGCACCCTATTGTGTTTCTAAGGACTCATGTCGCGCTTTGAGTAGTCAGAAAATTAAATAGCATCCCATTAATTTTGATTTTTTTTAGAATATTGAATGGAAATTCACTAAAAGATTTAGATATATGAGGAGAGTACTATTGTTTGATAATTTAGTACAAGTGGACACATTGCCTAAGTAAAATAAAACACCAAAGTGTGTGAAGGATGTAAGCCAAAATGCACTCCTTGAACAAGTTCTTATGCCTGAAACTGGAGGAACAAAAACATTGAATAAGTTCTTATGCCTGAAACTGGAGGAACAGTGGATGCTTCCACCATTAGTATTAGGTTAGACTCATTACAAGTGAGATCTCGTCAGATGAAAAGGTGGAGAATCTACTTTGCTTATAAATAAATGAGAAATTGTGTCCCTAAGTGCAAAGCTTCTCAATCTAGTTAGTCAAAATCTCCCATGATGAAACTGAAAGTGGAAATCTTTGACCACAGGGCAAAGCAACCAAAGGTAAAATTAGGCTAGTTATCTTGACTGAAGAGTCCTGGCATGACATGTAGCATAAATATGACACAAAGCACACACACTTAAGATGTAGCGGCAAGGCTGAGTTGTGCCAGTATTTGAAAACAATTCCTCTGAGATGACTTCTGAGTTGATAATGAGTTGTGTTGGCTGAAAGGGTGGGTGTTTGTTAGGGAAGATTCTCTGTTGTTGATTGTCCCATCACCTGAGGATATACAATGATTTAAGTTTGGAGGTGTGATAACCCACCTTTTGTAAGTTATCATTAACCCTATTTATTTCACTTTCTTAGTTTATTTAACTTGTTATTAGATTAATTTAGATCATTTTAGCTATTTTGTTGTATTTAGCATGGAACACAATAAGTGATTCATTTTGTTGGATTAATGTTTTTGTTGCTTGAATTAAGGTTATTTTTTATGAGCTAAGGCAAGAGTGTGCCAGACAGCACTTGAGAGTGTTAGCTGAAGTAAGAAGGTGAAATTCTAACCAAGAGTTTGAAATGAAGAAAGTAGTTGAGTTCTAGGGAAAGCGTAATATGAGCAGAGTACTATAGGAAAATGTGCTTGGATTGAAGGAATTCCATTTCAATTTGTGGATAAGATCAATGAGGCACTAGAAGACAAAAGTAGTACAATTGTATAACTACCACTCTACGCAGTCTGCCAGAATGGACAATGCCACCTACACCCTGTTGTAGCAGTCTGCACCAGGACACTTTGTATCCCACAAATGTTCTCTATACCTGATTCCTTGGAGGCTAAGTAGAAGAATATTGAGGACAATGCTGATTTAATTAATGGGTTTGATGTGATTTCCTTAACATTGACCCATGATCCAAGGTTCCTCAAGAAACCTTATATGAAGGTTATAAATACACCATGCTGAAGATTAGAAAGAGAGTTCACAATTCCAAAAATACCCGACAAAGCATAATAATGTAAAGTTTGTGGAGAGAAAAAAGTTTTTCTTCTCATCAAATCTGGTTTCAGCTGTTGAGTCTTGGCGCAACTGAAGTCATCCCTGGCTGAGTATCTCTCATTCAAGGAGTCTTCCACTTACTCTTAGGTTTATATTTTATTCTCAATATTTGTTTAATAATGTATATTTTAAGAACCATGTTGGTAGCTTGTACTCAGTTCATTATGAGATAAACCTTTTTGTATGCCGAGCAATAGAAAATTAATGTTATGATGTTTTTATGTTAAATGAAGTGTTGTTTACTGACTTGTTTTATTATGTGTTAGCATACTTACAAATCTGATTATAAAAGTTATCAACTTAGAAAAATATAACAACTTGTTGTTGCGAGAGATCCAACAACAAATGGATTTCATAATAGAAATAGTTAAAAATAGTATAATAGAGATATTCACTTGATTAGTTCACTTAGAGATAAGAAGCTATAACTATAAAGGATTTCAGAATATAATAGATATATCTTAGGGTTATAAGTGTGACTTAGAGATTTTTTCCCTTTCCTTAATAATACATGTTTGGATGCTATCACTCTTGGATCACTCTGACCTTTCATAACACGGCATTACACTTCATGAACACATTGTTGCATCTGTTTATCGTGAAAATTAGTAAACAACCACTGGTCTTTCCAAATCAAAAAAGAATTGGGTTACTTACAGGATCGACCATACAAATCTTAGAACATGTGCTAGTAATTCTTAAATTAAAGTTTGGAAAATGGTGAATATTTCAACAGTACTCATGATCTAACAGTTAACAAACTTCAAAATTCAGAGAAAGTAGATTTCAGAGACTTAATCAAAAGCAATTAAATGCATTGAAAAATAACTTGAGTAATAAAAAGATAAACTTGTGGTAAAAAGATAAAACTTGAATTAAAGTGTAAAAATATGGTGCTTGTCAAACGTACATTTTCTCGACACACTTTTTTCTCTGCACACAGATACTTTGAGTAATTTTAGAAATTTTGTACAACTTTGAACACACCGATCCTAACGCTGGGACCTTCTATTTATAATGATCGAAAATAACCAACCCTAATGGTCTTCCTACAAACATAAGATAAGTGGCGCTCGACATGTCTTCTTTCCTCAAAAAGGCTCCACGTGTCTCCTTCAAAAATCTGGATAAGAACAAAAGTTCTCTCCTTTATTTGAATTCAAATCTCATGTCGAAACAACATCAACAATTTTCTGCCGAACCAACTTCTGAGACTTAGAATATTTTTTTTCTCTTATTTCAGCATATCCTCCTTATACAAAAAGGTAGCTTCGCCTAAAACAAACAAGTTTCACAACTTTGTCGAAACCTCTCACAACTTCATGTAACTTTCTTTATTGTTTCCATTAATTAAAACCAGGAGTCAAATTTGGGAGTTAATAAATTGCCCCCCAAAAATGTCATTTTCGATAGCACTGAAGAAAAAGACATTTTTGTCTTATTCGACGCCTCAAATGATCCATGTGTGATTTGACATCTCTGATGAGTCAATGTTATAAAATGGTTCTCCTTCTATAGCATGCATGTGACATCATGGTCGTGATTACATTTTCTGAAACGTCCCCTCAACCCCACGTGAGAATCTTTGCCATCATCACGTATCCTAGACCCTAGGAGATTATGGGACTAGGCATTAACTACCACCGTTTCATCAAGGATAGCGGGTAGAACATGTGTCCCACTTTAATTTTAACCATTAATGCTGCTTGAGAACTGTTTCCACTCCAATCCTTATAA